CATAACTGGAGTCATGAGAACTTGAACCTTTTTACGGTCTTCGAGTTTGATTCCAGACTCAGATGAAGAGGACTCATTTAAGTATGACTGATGTCATCATCGGAGCAGAATGTCTTCAGAGTCGTAGATCTATCGATATTCGAACGAAGTACATCCAAATTCCAGGTTTACAAAGAGGTTTAAAACTGAATTCAGTAATAAAAGGAAGTGGAAAAATACATCCTAGACATATCGGATGACCCAACTTATAAAAACCTGCTACGCTGATGGCTCATTTACTGATGAAAGTACCAGATTAGGTGTACTTGAGCCGGGGTACAGTGGGAAATTATTGACAGATTTTGTTCAAAAAACGCTGGAAGGGTCAGTTTTTAACCAAATTTAATTTTTTTCTTTGAAATACTTGGAACAGATTTTAGAAAAGATTCTCTAAGCTCGAATTTAAAAGAAAATGTTTATCAGCAAATGGTGAAAGGCGAAAACTTAATTGAAAGAAAATGTGAAGTGAAACTACCAGAATCAGAACATTGCGATCTGGACTAAAAGCCAAGCGGCTCTTAAGGCACTTAGAACTCATGAACATCATGAGCATTAGAAGACAAAGCGAAAAACCAGGCAATCCGCAGTCCGAACACAGCAGACCTAGTGATCTTCACCACAAAGTATAAAATTCAGGAATGGTAAAAGCCTCCGTTAGAGGGCGCGACTTTAATACCAGCGATGGTAGGAATAACAGGAGCTGAACGTCGTCCTACACAATCCACCAACGGATCTGGCTGCTAAAAACATAGCCTTGAAAACTGTCGGTTCAATTGCAGATCAATGCGGTCATAGTAAATTTTCCGGCCATCTGGTGGGAAACATAGTCTATATCTATAATCCTGTGTCTGCAATTTGGAGAATGTTTATAAATAACGATTGGGGAGGATGTATGGCGTAAGGTTGCAGGAGGCAGTGGAGTTCATGTGTTCACAGGTGGTTCAAAAACAACAGAAGGCGTAGGAGCAGCTGCCTATTGCAACGAATTAAGAATAAAGAAGTCGTTCAAACTACCAAACTTCAGTAGCATTTACCAGGCGGAAGTCTAGGCAGTAAAGTAAGCTGCGAAAAATGCTCATACAAAGCTAATTATTTTCTATATACATATGTAAATAGCCAAGGTGATATAAAATCTATATTTTCAAACTCGACAAACTCAAAAAGTGTGCTAGAATGCAACAGAAGGAGTGCTAGTGGCCGATAAAAGGTGGTCACAACAACATGGAGGCAAAGTATACAGCATCATGCTTAGGTCACATTATCTCACATTAAAAAAAAAAAAAACTTATATATAATTAAACTACCTGACTAACGACTGTAGACTTCTGGTCACAATTTGTTAGCTTATCATGCCCTTAAAATGGGTTTGGGGAGTAGTGATAACTGTAGAAAGTGCAAAATGGAAAAGAAACGATGGAGCACATTGCGTGCGATTGTCCAGAGTCAGAACTGCCTTGGAAAGGCGTTCGCCACTAGCTTCAAGATAGCAATAAAATACGGGTTCCACAAAATCGTAAAATTCGGAAAGAAGGCGTCATGGATTCATAATATAGTGCGCACCTACTCATCATGATTGCTCGTTTTATCTAGCAATGTGTACTTTGAACAAATATAACAGTCTATTTGAGGCTTTTACCTGCAATCCAATTCTACACAACCTAATCTATGTGAATAAGTAAACCATTAATTTACAGAATACTATTGAGATTTAACAAAACTGGACAATAGCGATTATGAAGGACTTATTTGAGTAATACGCCGCAATCATGGGAAAAAAACCATGCATCAAGTAAATACGCAAAATTGTCACATTTGAAGTGACTTTAGCGCCGGACTTCTCCAAGCACTCGGCTCGAGTCACCGCCATCAAGCTGCAGTATCAGGCCATACTTTTCGAAGAAAACGCTCGCGCTGAAATATTTCTGAAGACCGTTAATAAAAAATTTAAAATTTAATTGAGTTGCAGTGACAAATTTTTCAAAAAATTCCATTCCATTCCAACAAGTAAAGAGTTGTTCGGTCTTCAGATTTGACGGCATAATCTCTGTAGATGGCCACTAGCTGATTGAGGTTAACAAAGTCCTCAGCAAGCCGGCTTGTAAACAATCTTCAAACATATGTGTGGGTCATTTGCGGGACTTTTAATATCTGAGTGAGTGAACTCAGTACGCGGTGAGTACGCGGTGAGCGGTAGGAGGTCTTGGTTATCCCTTCATTGAGAAGGATAATCTGTTAAGTAGAATAGACACCAAGTTACCATTTCCGTGAATTAAAAAATTAATTTAGGTCGCGCGTCAAAAATTTATTTTGACAAGTGACAAGAAAAATAGCCCCCATCAGTACAAATCCGGCTACGCTGAGCATAGTATTTTTGCGCAGAATACCTTTCCGCGTTGGCGGCCTTCAGCCACGCTTTGAAAATATAATCCTCAACAGTCCAACTCCGGCAGCGGAAAAAAACCCTTGGAGTTGTCCAACTTCGGCGCCGCTGACCACAGTATTTTTTCGCAGAAAACCCTTCCGCGCTGGGAGCTTTCTGCCGCGCTTAGAAAAAATAGCCCTGATTAGTCCTCTGCGCTGACCACAGTATTTTTGCGCAGAACATCTTTCCCCATTGGAGACCTTCGGGTGAGCTTATCAAAAATATCCCTCATTAGTACAACTCCGGCTATGCTGACCACACAATTTTAGCGCAGAACTACTTTCGGCGTTGGCGGTCTTCGCCCGCACTTAGAAAAAATAATCCTCATCAGTCCAACTTCATCTACACCATTAGCGAAATTAGGCCGCGCTCAAAAAACTAAATTAGGGTGCGCGGGCGTACTTCATTTTGACAAGTAATATTAGGCCGCGTTGAAAGAATGAAATTAGATCGCCGAAGATCACGCGGTCTTAAACTTAACATTTTGCAGATAACGTAAGTTTCAATATATTTCCTGTAACAACAAACGCTGCTCCATACGTCAAGTGAACAACCTGTTAGTGCCCAACGGCATCTTCCATTAAACTAAGCAATGGCATCCACAAAAATTACATCAACATAAAGAAGAGTCAATCAACATTGATGGGCAACATGTCGTAAAGGAACAATTATCCTGCTCCTTCGAGAGCAACGCTCTGAGAATATGGTAGTCCAAACTTTCCATCACTCACCAGGGAAGTGCGCAGATGCTTGCTCGTCCAGGGAAGAACAAAACCAAACAAACAACAAAGTGGTGAATTTCGGTTATCTCTCGATTGTGGATATTGTAGACGGCAAGCAAAGACTCAAACCCGCAGCTGCAAACTAATAACAGCGACAATAACAGAGTTTTTCCGAGCGCGGCTAACAGCAGCAAAGAAAGGTGGGCACAATTGTTGGACCCGCGTTGAGCAAACATGCGCAACAACAACAAAAGTCAGCCACCCGCCTGGCAAGCCGGTTGTGTTTAGTTCGAATACAACACGAACGAACAATTTTACTCGTATTTAACACACAGCAGCCAACAGCAACGGGGCAATGAATGAAAACAAAAACAACAGCAGCATAGCAGCCCATCAACAACTTCGGCATCAGCAGCATCACAACCCGGTGCGGCTGGCTGCGAATGCGTGCGCTTGGAAAATTCAAACGATAACAACGTTGCGTCGCCGAACACGGGGGTGAGTGGGCAGGTATGTAGGTACAACAAAAGTGCAGATGCGCTCGTAGGTAAACGACGAATCAACTGACTGTCGACGAAGTGCTGCCGATGCTACCGTCTCAGTCGCAGCCACCGAATCTCGGTACTTTTGCGCCGCAACGCGCCGATGACTCGAGCCGGCTGGCTGGCTGGCTGGCTGGCTAGCTGGTTGACTGTGTGGCTGCGGCAATTGCTTAGCTAGCTGCCTGAATCACTACCAAGTGTGGCCGGCCGCTACGCTGCGTCTGCTTGCCGGGCGCTGATTTACAATTTTAGTTGACTGTGAACAGGCAGCTTGAATTGACGTATGCGTCGCGTATTGCTGTTGTAAATTTGGCTCCATCAGCCACACAAGAAAGCGGTAGGTTCGACGCCAACGTAAAGGCGAAAGAAAATAAACGCGCGCGCGGAAACCAATTCGAACGGGATGCAATTCAAATTCGACGCGGTCGATCGATGAGAACATTGGCGCGTTCGTCGGTAAGAAATTAGACAAGTCTGTCGGAGGAGTCGACGCGAATTTCGTGAATGAAATGCAGTTTTGAAATTGGCGGGCGGTTAGAAAAGTGCAAGTCGCGTGCGCATTAAGCGCGCTTGGAAGATCGAATTGAAAGCAAACGAAATTCGTTCAATTCGAGAAACAAGCGAAATTTTTGTGAATTACATAAAACGAAAACGAAAGGCTTGGGTGGCAGTGAGCTCGTGAGTTGCAATGATTGATTGATTGCTGCAAATTGAATTATACAATTTTACGAGTTATCAATGTGCATATTGCGATTTGTGTGAGAATTTTCTAAGCTTTGGTGGAGCGTAGATTTGAAGAAACCAAAATACAAACAAAAACAAAAGAGTGATAGAATCGAAAGCCGCCAAAGCGCGCTGAGGATAGAACTTGAATATATATAAAAAACAACAACAACACACTTCGTTTCGTTGCGCGCATAGCTTGAAAACCATAACGAATTTTTGAGTGACATGCAAAATTACGACTAAGGTGAAAATTAATTGCAGCGGCGAACGAAAGGAAAACCGAGGAAAAAATTAGAAGTGTATTAGAAAAAATTCTACTCGAAGTTATATGTAAGTGGATAGAAAAAGTTAAGTAAAGCTTGAATAACACCTCGAAAATTATAAAATTAAAATTATTAAAAGTTAAGGACCTCAAGTGAGCGAATTGCAAAAAAAAATAATATAAAGGATATTCACAAAGAAAAAATTATTGCAAGAATACTTTATCCACTTTATTAAGCGTTTCACTGTGTAATTGAAGAAAATAGTTCAGTGACAAAATATCGTTTGAATAGGAAATGTTTGCAAATGTTACAAATCTTTACATAAATTCTCAAAAGTCTGTTCAAGCAAAATTTTAATTCCACTGAAAAATTAATGTGTAACTCAACTGCGTGGAGAAACCGCGATTAACGCTAAATACATCATTAATTACAAACAAACAAAAGATACCCAAAGTCCTTGCTCTTTCGACGATCCAGCGACCACATACTGTGTGAGAGATTCCGCGGAGTCAAGCTATCACACGCCGAAGCGCAACCAAGCCACCGCGCAAGCAACAAAATCAATTGTCTCAAGTGGAAGGACAACAAAAACTCTTAGGACAATTAATCCGGAAATTTACGCACTGCCAAGCAAGCGCATCTAGAAACGCTTGTTCGCGTTTTTGGTGTACAAACCCACCCACTACCCCACCAACACATAAGTCAATTAACCACATAACCAGCTAATTAATCAACTCAAACTCCCACGAAAATCTCCATTTCTCTTCATAATCCCCACCCGAATCACTGCTTCCAACATGGCGCACCTCAGCGCACTACTCACTCTCTTCCTACTCTCTGTCCTCCTCTCCTGCTGTCGTGCCATACCCAACGATGTGTACATGAAAATGTTGGCCGCCCAGGCGCCCACCGACCCCTGTTACGACGATGACAAGGCGCGCAAGTGCATACCCGATTTTGTGAATGCCGCATTTGGCGCACCCGTGCAGGCCTCCAGCACTTGCGGACTCGATCAGCCGCAACGCTACTGTGAATTGAGCGGCATAAGCTCGAATGCCGATCCACAGGCTATGACTTGCCACATCTGCGACTACTCGAATGCCGCGCGTCGCTTTCCCGAATCAGCGCTTACCGATTTGAATAATTCGAATAATGTCACTTGCTGGCGTTCGGCACCCGTACCACCGGTGACTAGCATGAATGCGCCACCTGATAATGTTTCGCTCACACTATCGCTGGGCAAGAAGTACGAATTGACCTATGTGAGCCTACAGCTGTGCCCCAAGTCCCTCAAGCCCGATTCGATTGCAATTTACAAGAGTTCTGATTATGGCAAAACTTGGCAACCATTTCAATTCTACAGTTCGCAATGTCGTCGCGTCTACGGTCGTCCGAATCGTGCAACCATCACGAAGCATAACGAACATGAGCCACGTTGCACCGACTCACATCGGCAGGTGGGTGATGTTACCGGACTGCAGGGATCGCGTATCGCTTTTAGCACACTCGAAGGACGTCCGTCTGCACGTGACTTGGATTCGTCGCAAGTGTTGCAGGAATGGGTTACCGCTACGGATATCAAAGTGGTCTTCCATCGGCTGCAAATGCCCGAACCGAATGCGTTGAATGTGCTGGAGACCAGTGGCGCTGATGTGAAGCCGAATGGCAAGTACAGCGAGGCATCATCCAATTCGGTGTTGATTCAACAGTACGGTTCCAATGCGATCGATCAGGCAGCTGAAGCTGTGATTATACCTGCGGCGGTGACCATCTCTAGCGCTGCAGCTCCACATGCGGGCGCCGCTAGTTTAGGACAACATTATGCTGTGTCGGATTTCCTTGTCGGTGGACGTTGCAAGTGCAATGGACACGCTTCCAAGTGCTCACCCGATCATAACGGTATGCTCGCGTGCGAATGTAAGCACAATACGATGGGACGCGACTGTGAACGTTGCAAGCCGTTCCACTTCGATCGGCCATGGGGTCGAGCAACGGCACGTGACGCCAATGAATGCAAAAGTGAGTAGTAGAACAACAAAATGACCAGCGATGAATTACTAATTCATATTTATGACCAGTGTTTATTATTATTAGGTATTGTGTTTAGCATTTTTGTGGTTGGTTTGTTTTTTTTTTTGGTCTGTCTCTTTTGTTTACTTTGATTTATTGATGAGGCTTCTCGGAGGCGTTGATATGACAACTTAATTAATGTCTTATGGAAATTTGTATATTCATACATAAACGTAGTATTTCAAAAACATATTAGGGTGCGTGAGCGTTAAAAAAAAACACAAATTAACTGGGGAACGAGTAGTTTTTCGCTATATTTTGTATCTGCGAGCGTAAATAACGCGAATAGGTTTGGCACACACATATGTATGTACATATCAGCATTGCCATTTGACGGTGATTACCGAGCGGAAGCTTTGGACATAAAAAAGCGTGTAAGTGCTTTAAGCACTCCGCTTTAGTATTTTTTTTCTATTAACTTTGTTATTTTTGTTATTCATGCTTTAAAATGGTTAAGTGATTAAAGCGAATATGGAAGAACTTGCTGAAATTCCATTCATGTGTGATATGTATATACCCAGTGGGCAAAGGTAATGTCTGGGAATGCAAAAAGTAATGGATAGCCCCTATAATCTACGCACGAAAAGCTGCAAGAATTTCTCCACAGCGATGTCATACGAAAGTAATGTGTCGCATGTCGTTTTACGAAACTATAATTAGAATCTATACATATAATTAAAAATAAAAGTAAAAAAAATAAAGTCCGTGCAACACGTGTTTTGAACCTGTGACCAACAACACGGCAGTCGATCTACAGCAGCTGTTGAACTAACGTCAAAAAAACATACTTGAGTTAGTTTTTAAATTTTTATTTTGTTTGTGGCTTCAAAACTACACATCATCCGCTGGCTTACATTGCGATGCATGTTTTCGTTCAACCATAGTTTTTAATCTTTTCTTGGTAGAAAAAGGTAATGCATTTCCATTTTTCCGCTGGGAGAAAAAGAAAAATTTAAATGATATCATCAGTTTTCATAATTTTTAATAAAAAAAAGGAATTGAAAAGTTAACAAAGGCAAATTTTTTGTGGAGTTATTTCTTTTCCTGTAAGTTGTATAGTACTTCCAGATATTAACCATATCGGAATATAAGGGCGTTTTCTCGACACATGTGCCATATAGCGGACTAATTCATATTTCAAATAGCACTGTCATCGAACTCTGAGCTAAGTTTGAACTTTCAAGCCTTTAGCTCATCGGGAAGTTGGTTAAAATTCTATTGCTAAATTTGATTTTTGAATTATTTAGTTTTTTTTTTTTATAAAAAAGAGCGATTTTGTTGAGGTCACAATTAGGATGAGACTTGCCTTTTGTTATTTTTAAGGATTTACTATAAAATATAATCCCAAAAAAGTCCAAGAATACTCTCAAAAAATACCGCAAAAATCTCTGAATGTCTCGAAAAACCCGCCACAAAAAATAAGATTAGTCCCGTAAAATTCTTAACTATACCGAAAAACTTACGAGAAAGTCCCTCAACCCTTTTCTATTCTCCAGGGGCAACAAAAGGAGCCAAAAATTAAGCTAATTTTAAATTTCCACCGGTTAAAAAGTTAAATTTAATAAATAAGTTAAATCAAATAATTTTTTTACCACTATATGTATTTTTTTTATATATATTTAATTGGACATATATTAAAATTGTACTAAAGATATGTATATAACAAAATTAAAAAATAAATGCCTTTTTTGGAGTGCCTTAAAATCCTAACCCTGATAATCATAATAGATTGGCGCCTACACACAATATGTTAGTGTTTGGCCGAGCTTCTCTTCCGATTTGTGGCGTGCGCCTTGATGTTGACACACAAAGGGGAGGGACCTACAGTTTTACGCCGACTCCGAACGGCGATTGTATTTTTGTTTGAAGCTGTTTTTCATGGCAGAAGTACATTCGAAGGTTTGCTATTGCCTGCCAAGGAGCGATCGCTGTTAAGAAAACCCCTTTTTGTTATTTATTTTTTGATGTTGCTTTGACCAGGGCTTGAACCAAGGCTCTGCGGAGTGGTAGTGCGCACTGCTTACCACTACACCACAGTGGCCGCGGATATTATTGGAATGGAATGGAATGGTATTGTGGGTGGCCGGAAAAATTAAAAAAAAAAAATCTCCAAGCACTCAAGCGTTATTGACCATTGTACCTAAGGCCAAGAAACAGGATTTAGAGGAAAGGGATATGTAGGTGGAGGTGGGAATTCATTGCTCCTCTGCAAATTTACCAGACTCCTTTATGACACTGACCGTGCCTATAACAATACACTAGGCTCTCTGCCTACTGAACAGAATTGGAAAGGCCAAGTGTCTTCCTCTTCCTATACTACCACCTTCTTCTGTGTTATCTACGTTTCGATGCTGAAAAAAGGCCTAAAAAAAGGACTAAAACATTTTACGCATTCATTTGATTTGTACAACAGTATAGCAAAAACCATTCCTTTATTAGGCGAAGTTTTTTTTAAAGAAATTATACTCCACCTCTTCACTGAAAACAACTCCAATGTACTAGAAAAAATCCTGAATATATAGCCTATCGATCTTGCGGCTAAGTCTGCGAAAAGACTGATTACAACAAGGTGGCTCAAAAATTAAAGATGGAGTAAGAGCGGGACTATACTGATAAGTACTGAACGTTCGTCAGCTGATTAAACTGCCGCAAAACTAGCCTACTCAGTGACTGGAAATAACTCTAAGCTTAACATATGTATACGTAGATAGTCAAGCAGCGATTTTGGCTATTAGTTCATACCAATTTACGACACGAAATACCTTTAGAAGCAGGGAGGCCATAAATACGGCAGCAGCTCGTGATAAAGGAAGACCCTAGAACACGTTGTTCTATGCCTTTGTCCTGCTGTATCAAAAACACTACTGAAATATTTTGGAGCTTCAAAGTTGAATAAGCTTAAAGACGTGGCAACACTTGGGCTTCAAGCACTTCTGTGAATCTCAAAAAGCGTTGGCATCCTAAATGATGTCTACTTGGAATATACTTAACTAAAACTTCTGTCTGCATCTGGCTTCACTAGCGACCTATTGGGACATATGGGGTGGTCAGCCAGCCATAATAACCTAACCTAACCTAACTTTTGTACCAGGAGCCTAAAAGTAAGAGTACTTATATTTCAAAAGCACTCAACAAGTATGTAGTGAGATCTTTAGAAATTCGTTTATATTGTAAAAAAAAATTGTGCGGGTATGGTGGCCCACACATATTTACTACAGCGCCCGGATTTTCTCTTGATAGCCCTGCTCATTCACGTAAGAGGAAGAATGTTTAATAAAATCTGTGTGCTAAAACTTCAATCTATACTCAATTCAACGAGTACAACATTTTCAAAAAGCGAGGGCTTTTAAGCTCTACCCAGAATTGCAACGGACGACGGTAAAGCGGTCGACGGTTAACCGCTGTCAAAATTAAAACTCACAATGGCATATGGAATGGCTCATAATTGCGGCAGCAGCGGTTTTACCGCCGACGTTTTTCGATTGATTTAAATTTATTTCTATTTTTACCGCACATCGGGGACGGTACAATGTTGATTGAGTGTTGATTGTAGTACTTTTTGTTATTTTCGCAAGTTTGCCAATGTTTTTATCTATTTTTAATTCCAGAAAACCTACATACATGCACGTACCGGCAAAAATATTTAAATTTACTGATAATTTTCAAATCAAAATGACAACTGACGGAAGCCGTCGTGCGCCGCAATTCTGTTTACTCTGACGGATTTCACTCCGGCAACTGTTCAGCTATTCACTTTCCGCCGACCGCTTTACCGTCGTCCGCTGTAATTTTGGGTAGAGCTTTAAGTTCAATTTCAGTTTTGAGCGAACAACCCTAATAACGCGTGTTCATAAAAGTTATGCGTAAACAAATACATATTTTGATAGAAAAGAAAACATCACGTGATTAGCAAACGACTTACCCTTTCAGCAAGGCGCTAAAATAATGAAAACTTATGTTCCATTTGTATTTACTTTAAATACATACTTAACCTACTTGATTGCATTTTGTTGAACGACCACTTGCCACAACCTTAGAGCAACCCCTTAAAGCTTCCCTTTAACCTTACGCATGTTCCTATGCATCAAATAACGCACAGGATTGCGCTTTTTCGCCACATTTCAAGCTACACAAACACACATGCATACGCACAAATATGGCGCACATTTTAATCATGTTTATGCATTGGATTAGGCTTATCCGTCATTGAGCAGCATTGAACACGTGTGCGGCGCAAGCCAACGGCAGAGCAACCAAATATGTAGAACACTTCGGCCAAGGGCATTTATTGGCATTGTATTATGGCAACATGCGGCTGCTTGGAAGGAAGATAGAAGGCGCACACGGCAAAGCTGTTGAAAGGTTATGCAGGTTGAAAAGCGTAAGGAGCAAGCGGCTGGGCGCGATTGGGCGGCTGAATGGCTGGCGATGTGCGACCGACCGACCGACCGACCAGCCGCCCTGCTTGCGTTAGCTATAATGGTAATCCCATGAGTGTGTTGTTATTAAATTCCATACCGGCGCGCCGTGCAGTAAAGGCAATCACTCATGATGGAATTATGTTTAAGAAATATATGTGTGCGTATATAATTCTATATGTTTGAATAGTTAAATGATAAGCGCGGGAGTTGGGGTCCAACGTCCTTTCGAATACAGAGCTTGTAGCGCAACAACTCGACGCTTTAAAAAAATTTGGCAGCTGCTATGGTCGTCGAAATATGTGGGTAATGCCAGCGACCTGCTCTGCACGGCAGATATGCTGCAATATGCAAATGCTTTACAATTTACAACCTTCCACACATAAAAGCGCTGACTTAAGCCGTCCGCAGCTCTGCTTGCGCTCAAGGCTATTTAAAGCGAGCGAGTTCCTTGGCTAAATCCTTAGCCTACGCTGGGGCTGAAGCTGCATTTGATGTGTGCAATGCGTGTAAATGATGTTTAATTAAATC